ATTCCCTTTCCTGCGGGCCCTGGCGGTGAAAAGCTCACCTGAGCCGGGTGGGTGGCGCTGGGCTGGGTTCCCTGCTGGGGATGAGCTGCTCGCAGGGAACGGGAGCGGGAGATGGAGCAGGAATTGGGCGCCGGGAGCTTTGGAAGGGCCGCATTCCAGCCCTGGCGGGCTAAGAGGGGCTAAATGGGAAGATCTGATTAAGCGGCTCAGTGCGATGACCCTGACCCCAAAGAACGCGCCGGGGCTCGGGAGGAACTTCATTTCAATTAATCAGCTTAACAGCCCGAGAGAAGCTGCCCGCGTGCATTGAGCCGGGCTCGCTCCTCCTCCTCCTCCTCCTCCTCCTCCTCCTCCTCCTCCCTGCGGGATTGCCCCGGCCCCGCCCTGGGGCTCGGGGCTGCCTTCATCCCCTCGTTAGGAGCCTTTGGGATATCGGGGACACGGCCCCGGAGCCTCCCATCCCTCTGCGGCCTTTCCCACCTGCCGGGGGAAATGTGGGAAATAAATCTGGGAAATAAATGTGGGAAATAAATCTGGGAAATAAATCTGGGAAATGTGGGAAGTGTGGGAAATAAATGTGGGAGATGTGTGAAATATGGGAAATGTGTGAAATATGGGAAATGTGGGCAATGTGGTAAATATGGGAAATGTGGGAAATGCGGGAAATGTGGGGAATGTGAGCAATGTGGGAAATGTGGGGTGGCTTTGCCCCCCTTTTCCAGCCCCTGCTGCGCTGCCCGCTCCCTCCTGGGCACGGAGGGGATGGAGACGCGGCTGCCGGAGGCCGAGGGTGAGGAAATGCCGCGGGAGGCAGGGGGAAAATCCCAGAAAGTGTCGCAGGATCAGGGAACGCTCGGCTCGAAAGGAGCCTTGAGGCTCTCCCAGCCCCCTGCTCGGTGGGAACCTGGGAAGCAGAATCCAAGGGCACCAGGAAAGGAGCTGGAAAAGGGAAAGGCTCATCCAGAACTTCCAGGTTCTGGAATCTCCGGCTGATTTTCCAGGCGTTTTGCCTTTTTCCCGATGCCCTGGGCAGGCCTGGGAAGGGCAAAAGGCACATCCAGAGCCTGCAGTGCTTTTCCAGGCGTTTTTCCTTTTTCCCGATGCCCTGGGAAGGACAAAAGGCACATCCAGAGCCTGCAGTGCTTTTCCAGGCGTTTTTCCTTTTTCCCGATGCCCTGGGAAGGGCAAAAGGCACATCCAGAGCCTGCAGTGCTTTTCCAGGCGTTTTTCCGTTTCCCCGATGCCCAGGCCAGGCCCGGGAGCTGGGAAGGGCCGCCCGGAGCTTGGGAATCCTTCCCTTGCTCTGGGCAGGATCTCTCGGGATGCCCCTGGGGTCACGGCGCTGCGGAGCCCCAGCTGAGCCCCTGGCGAACATTCCAGCGAGTTTTGTGCCTGGAGCTCCGTCCCCGGCTCCGCTTAGCTGGAAATGGCTCGTTAACACCTCTCCCCACATCCTTTCCCATGGAACGAGGCGCAGCTGCTCCAGCTCGGCTCGGGCGAGGAGGAATCTCGGATTTTCCGCCCCGCTCGGACGCCTCCCAGCCCTCCTTCCCCCACCACACCCCGATCATTCCCTGATCCCCGGGAATTCCCGGCTGCCCGGGCCATTATCGCGTCCCTTTGGACTTTCACCTCTGGGGAGCCGCGCACTTTGCTCCGTCCCTGCACCTTTAAAGGGACAAGGGCAAATTTGGGACCCTCTGGAAAAGCCCTCGGGAGCCTTTGGAGGGGCTCGGCGGTGCTGCTGTTGGAGGGGAGCAGCCTGGAAGGGATGAGCTGATAAAGAAATGGAAGAAGCTGGCGACAGCGCGGTCGCACAAGTTCAAAATGCAGCACCAGAAGTTTCTACATCCAAAACACGAGAAATCTCAGCGTGGAAATATTCAGGGTGGAAGATAACACACAATAAAAAGGCCACAAAAGCACAACCCGGAGCCAGCGGCAGGAATCTGGGATGGAGCAGAGCCGGGCACCTCCACCTGGAGCTCACGGCCGCGGCATTCCTGGGGAGGATTTGGAATTTCTGGAGCGGCACCGCCCAGCTCTGCCCCCCGGCGGAGCCGAGCAGGGGCGGAGGTGGCTCGGGGGCTGCCTGAGGTGACGTTCCGGGCTGCCACAGAGGGGCTGGCCCGGTGGGAACGGAGCCGGCCCGGTGTGAACGGAGCCGGCCCGGTGGGAGCGGGGCTGGCCCGGTGGGAGCGGGGTTAGCAGGAGCGGGGCCGGCCCGGTGGGAACGGGGTTGGCCCGGTGGGAACGGGGCTGGCCCGGTGGGAACGGGGCCGGCCCGGTGGGAACGGGGCTGGCCCGGTGGGAACGGGGCTGGCCCGGTGGGAGCGGAGCCGGCCCGGGGCTCGGCGCTCGGCGCTCAGCACCCCCTGCTCGCCGCTGCCGCCGCAATAAAGCGAATTCGGCGGATCTCGGGGGCAGCGGGCGCTCAGAGCCCGGCCGGGGGCGCGGGGCTGCCCCGGGGAGGGATTTGGTTGCAGCAGGCGACAGCCAGGCTTTCATCTGCTCCTCCGAGCCTCCTCCAGACGGGAGAGGAGGGGCAGGGCTGTGGGCGATGGAGGAGGATTGCTGTAACGCGATTTTATGTCTGTGATTGCATAACGAAAGCTCCTGGGAAGCTCCTGATGCGGCCGGATCCCTCGCCCTGCCCGGGGCTGGAGGGCTCTCAGACCGATCGATTGCCCACGCTGGCTGCGGAGCGCAGGAATTGCCGGACTGGATCGGTACCAGGCTCCGAGCAGCCTGTGCTCCTTTATCGAGCCGCGCCCGAGCCATCAGGAAGCTGTAAAAAGCCTCCAGGAGCCGATAATCTGCTTTTTATACCCCCAGCACACGCAGCCACAGGCCCTGCTCTCACAGAAGCTGCAGCCCTGCTGTTAATGGGAGCAGACCTTGAAGGATGGAATTGCATTTCCGTTCTAAAAAAAAAAAAAAAAGATATAAAAAATTAAAACCCGCCTGGCTTTGTGGCGTTGGATGTCTGCAAATACCAGCTCCTTCCCTGAGCTGGGAAACGCTGCTGGTGCCAGCGGGCTCATCCCCCTGCCCACCCACCAGGACAAGCCCCGGGCTCCCGGGAAGGGGGGAGCGAGGAAATCGGGACCGCACAGACCCCGGCCGGGGCGGGAGGCGCCTGTGGCACTCCCGCCTCCTGTCCTGGCGTTTCCCCCGCGGATTCCGGGGCAGCCCCAGCTCCCAAATGCGGGGCAGGGCGCACAAAGCCGGGCCTGCGCCGGCCGCTCCCTGCCGCGCTCTTCTCCCCGCAGCGCGGCCCTCGTTAATTGGTGACAATTGGAAGTGGCTCATTCTCCGTGTGCGAGAGGCTGCGATCGCTTCCACTTGGCCGCGATTCAAGTGCCGGGGCTGAGTCAGAATGGGTGGCAGAGCTGTCTTTTCCTCAGTCCCCCCGCTCAGCGGCAAAGAAAAAGCCACAACCCCGAGTTATTCTCTTTGATGAGGTGGGCATTGTGAGGCCGGGCAATTGAATTTACAGCAGCATTGAGTATCAGAGTCTATCTGGCCCTGTCAATGAGAGCGCCGGGGAAAAAAAAAAGCCACACATTAACCCTCGGCTCCGAGTTCCCAGGCGCTTCAATAGCGCTCCCAACTTCCCAAAGAGCCCGCTGCATACTCGATGAGACCCTTTATCCCTCCTAATTACCCTCCCGACAATGGGGCCGGGCCTCTCGCGCCTTTGTGCGCCCGGAGAACTCCGGGGCAGCCACCCCCACCCCGAGCGGAGCGGCGCTTTGGGATTTTGGGAGCAGCTACAGCCCAGGTGTTTGCTCAGCTTCCAGCGCGGGTTTTTTTAGCAATCCTTCTTCTTTCTGCAAAATTCGGGGGGTATTTAACCCCCTCCTCTCAGCCCCATCACTTTGCCCCCGAATTTCTCACCCAGATCCCTTCCAATTATCTTGAAGTAAAGCCATAAAGTCCAGTGCAATATTTTTTTTTTTGTACACAGAGGATGAGCTCGTCCTTGCCCACTCTTAAACAAAATGAGAGTGGGAAAAAAAAAATATTTCAAAGAGTTCCTTTATTGAAACACCTGCATTTTTTTTTTTTCTCTTTTCATTTTTGGAAGTCTTCGACACAGGCACGCACACACCCACAGACCAACGGGATACAAACAACTTTGGCATTATAACTTTTTGAATATTTCTTACAAAACTATTTCTCATTTATTATTTTTTGTTCATTTCTTTAAAAAAAGTATCTCAAATAAAGGCATTTTAAAGGAGTAAAAATACAAGTCGAGATCCCAACCTCTGAAAATAATAAATAGCACGTTCATAGCGAGGTCCTTTTCTTCCTTTCTGCTTAAATCTGCTTTAAAAAACCCCCAAAACATAACAGGGGCTCCATACAACGGAGCCAAGGAGAGTTTGTTGCGGTTTGTTTTGTTTTGTTTTTGGAGAGGGGAGTGACTCGGAGGGAGTCACCAGGGTCTCCAGACGGATTCGCTGCGCTCCCCTCCGACGGGACTCGCGGCCTGCGAGGCCGGGCCGATGCCGCCCCCGAACGATGTCAGCCCGTGCACCGGCGATGCCGCGGGGGTGGCGGCCGCGCTGCCCGCGCCGCCGCCCGCCGCCCCCGGCGCGTTGGCGTTGGCGTAGAGCGGAATAACCGGTCCGGAGCCGGCGGGGAAGGCCGGGCTGGGGATGAGGAAGGCGAAGTGGCCGTCGGTGGCCGGCACCAGCTGGAAGCCGCCGTAGACTTTGGGGGACAGCGCCTCGGCGGGGTTCAGCTTGCAGGGCACGGGCACGGCCGCGCCCGCGGCCGGCGGCAGCTGGACGTGCAGCGGCTGCTGCGCCAGATGTGCGGGCTGGGCGGGCGGCGGAGGAGGAGGAGGAGGAGGAGGGGGGTAGTTCATGGCCACCATCTGGCCCAGGCACGCCGAGAGGTGGCTCAGCAGCCGCGTGCGCACGTCGCTGTTGACCCCTTCGCAGGTGGACAGGAACCGGGTCACCTCGTTCATGCACTCGTTGAAGCCGGCCCGGTACTTGCCGAGGACGGTGGGGTCGGCGCTGAGCGCGGCTGGGAGAGGGGGCGGCCGGTGAGCGGCAGGTCCGGGGTACCGGCCCCGGTACCCCGTCCCCAGCACCCGGTCCTGTCGCTAACCCCGGGGCTGCAGCCTGGTTCCCGGTCCTGTCGCCAACCCCGGGGCTGCAGCCCGGTTCCCGGTCCTATGTCCTTAACCCCGGGGCTGCAGCCCGGTTCCCGGTCCCCAGCCCCCAACCCCGGGGCTGCAGCCCGGTTCCCGGTCCCCAGCCCCAACCCCGGGGCTGCAGCCCGGTTCCCGGTCCCCAGCCCCCGGTCTGGAGCCAGGTTCCCTGTAAGGAGCCCCTTCCCGGTCTCCTGTCTCGAACTCCTCAGTTCCCAGTCGCCGGTGCAGAATCCGGTTCCCGGTGCCCCGCCTTCGGTCCGGATCCCTGTCCCCGTTCTGTCCCCAGCTCCCGCTCCGGATCCCGATCCCTTGTCCTCAGCTCGGTGCAGACCCCAGTCCCCGCTCCAGACGCCGATGCCCGTGCCCGGTGCCCTGTCCCCACGCCCGGTGGCCCCGGGGCGGGCACTCACCGGTCATCTGCGCCCGCTGCAGGTTCCGCAGGTGCTTGACGGTCATCTCCAGGATGTCCGCCTTCTCCAGCTTGGAGTGCCGCGAGCTCTGCGGGACAAGAGCGGCCGGGTCAGGGCTGCCCGCGGCCGGCCATGCCCCGGTGTCCCCGGAATCCCCGGTGTCCCCGCAGCCCCACTTACGTCCTTCTTGAGCGCGTCCAGGATGAGCGTCTTGAGCTGCCCCAGGCTCTCATTGATGCGCGCCCGGCGCCGCTTCTCCATGATGGGCTTGGAGGACTGCGGGGAGAGCGGAGCCGGTCAGCGCCCCCCGCACGGCCCCGGGCCCCCAGCACCGCACCCGAGACCATCACCGACCTCAGCACGGCCGCGGGCTTGCCGCCATCCAGCGCCGCCGCCACCGCTGCTGCGCCCCGACCGGCACCCTCCTCCTCCTCCTCCTCCTCCTCCTCCTCCATTTACCTTCCGGTGCTCGCTGGCGCTCCGCGGCTTATCCGGCGTGTGGCTGGCGCTGGCGGGCGCACCGGCGATGGGCGAGGCGGTGGGTTTCTCCATGCCCGTATCGGCGGGCATGGCTGAAATCCGGTGGAGGAACGGGGGAAGGAAAAAAAATATTAAAAAAAAGAAAAAGGAAAAAAAAAAAGAACGTGGAACCGGCAAAACGGAGGTTCTGGTGCGGGGTGTGGAAGGGAGCCGGAGGGGGCGAGCGGAGCGCGTGCGGCGGCGGGCGCGGGGCGCGTGCGGCGGGCGCGGGGCGTGCGGTCGGCGGCGCCCCCCGCCCCTGCCCGCGCCCCTTTATAGCCCGGCGGCCGCGGCGGCGGCGGCGGCGGCGGCGCCCATTCGTGTGAACCCGCCGCCGCCGCCGTTCCCACACTCGCGCGCGGCCAATCAGCGCCCGGCCCGCGCCCGGCCGCCCGCGCGCCCCGCGCTCCCATTGGCCCGCGCCTCGCCCCCCTCGCGCTCCCTCCCTTCCCGCCCCGCCCCGTCACGCGCGCGCGGGGAACGCCCCCCCGTCCCCTCGGCGCGGCCACGTGGGGCGCGAGGGGGGCGGGAGGGGAGGGCGGGGAGCGAGGGCAGAGCGGGAGGGGAGGGCGGCGGGGCAGGGCGCGGGCGGGGCGCTGGCCCCGCCGCCGCCGCCGCCGCCGCGCCGGCCCCGCCGCCGCCCGCGCTGTGACACCCGGCC